TGTGTGTGTGTGTGTGTGTCATTTTCAACCTGAACAGACCTCTTGTGCTCTGGTGTCACTTTAGCGTGTCAGGTGTGTGTGTGTGTGTGTGTGTGTGTGTGTGTGTGTGTGTGTAGTGCATCATCTCACCCACAGGGAGTCAGGGGTCCAGCTTGTTGAGAACTGATGCACCATTGGCCCAGGGGCCCCTGTTGCATGGGGTTCCCAATGGAGAAGACAGGCCACACAGACCTAAACAGAGGGACGGACAAAAAACTGTGACTTGAGCACCTGACTTTGATTTGACTTGATTTTGGCAATCTGGTTTAACAGCACTGAAATAAAAAATCTGAGGCTCATACTATCAGTGTTATTGGCAAATAAATGAATAATCTCAGTCTGTCAGTCGTTCCCCCACTTTGGTCGAGACTTAAACTCAGACTTCAACTACCCATCAATGATTTGATGGGTTCACATCAAACTGTAACATTCATGCTCCACCATGATGTGTTTTTGAGAGACTATAAGAAACTGCAAAAAAAAACTTGTGCTTTGATTCAAACGTCTTTCAAATCATTTTACCCTGAACTTCATGTTGGGAATGTTTCCTGTTGTGTTTTAGTGAGAATGCAGGACATGTGAAGTTGACAACTGACTTTAAGTTGTATGAGTGTGTGTGTTCGTGTGTGTGTGTGTGTGTACACGTGTATGTCAGAGGGACACGTCTGGCCACAGCGACGGCAACAGAAGGTCTCCCCTGCGATGCCTTTTTCTTTTCAAGCTGTCTCTTTACCCCCACCTCCACTGCCTCCTCTGCATGCACTCACACACAGACACAGACACACACACACACACACACACCTAGCCTGGCTGCTGGTTTCTGCTCCCACTCCCCTCTACACGCAGGACTGTGAGCACAAGGCCAGCTGATGGCAATGTGTATGTGTTAAGAGGCCAGAACAGTACACACATATATCATATCGCAAGGTCCACCTGTGTCTGCAGCCATGGCCCCATACCTCTGCTGCCCAGCTCCTGATGCCACCTGGGGAGACAGAGACGAGGGAGCAGATGAGGGAGGATGTCATTGTGGATCACTGTCATTGTCATCATTGTCAAAATATAAAAGATTAGGATAATAATCAGATCCGATTTTTACATGTGGGAAAGTCACGAGAGAAACAATTTACTGGGATGTCAGGAGAGGAGGACGCACAAGACAATGTCCTCTTTGTCACCATCACCCTGAACATTACAACACTATGAGGGCAGTTGACCTTTCAAACAACCTGCACAGAAAATTCAAAATATGCATTGTATCAACAATTCAAAGCCATAAACCTCCACAGAACAATTTGTTTACACTTTCAGCTGTTGAGCAGAGATTTCAGTCATGTGCTGTGCAGCTGTCTGATCCTTCCGGCTGTAAACAGCATTGAAGATGATACAAAGTGCTCATGTGAGGAGGTGCAGTAAGGATAGCTGACCTTACGGACTTACTGTTGCTCAGAAACCACAATGTTTCTGTAAACAATCAACTTAAAAACATGTGAAGAAACTCAAAAAAGAGAGAAAAAAACTGAGGGAGTTTCATAACACAACATTTTTTGCATTTTAACATATCGATGAATCCCGGTGGCTCATCTTTATTAGACATTATGCTTATAATGAATCGACCTTAACTTCCTCAACACGAGCCCGCTATGACGTCTGAATATATTCCTTTAGGCATTAGGCATGAAATGTAAACAAGAAGAACAGAACATGTTTGCTAAGCCGAACCAGCTGATGCCTGACAACCTACAGCACAATGAGCACAGCGACAATGAGCTCGCAGCAACGGAAACTACAACAAAGACTTGGTTCTGCTCAAGACCGACTGACTCAAACCCACAGAAACAGAAAAGTTTACCATCTGACATCAGATGCCTTCATGTTTTATTTATTTATTTTTATATATATTCCCTGGGACATTAGTGACATTTTTGATATAAAATACCTGGGTGTCCTAATAGGACATGGGTGACACTGCCAGGGTAACAACAACAAAGAGAGAACAAAATACATAAAGCTGCGAAATGAGTTAAGATGCACAATGAGCACATGGAGACACAAAACATGTTCAAAGAGACAAAAACTTTGTACGAAGAAACGCTAATCATGTTGTAAGAGACACAAACCATGTAAGAAGAGCCCAAAACTTGTACAAAGAGACACAAAACAAATGCAAGGGAACACGAAATGTCCACAAAGAATCACAAAACGTGTATAAATGCAAAACACACACAAACGCAAAAACAATGAAAAACATGAAAATCTACCACAGAGTCTAAAAATAGACATGACATAACAAGGCAAACTAACTAATTAACTAACAAGCAAACTAACGAATTAACTAACAAGCAAACTAACTAACTAACTAACTAACAAGAAAACAAACAAATTAACTAACAAGCAGACTAACTAATTAACTAACAAGCAGACTAACTTACTACCTAACTACTTAAGTAACTATTGAGTGGGCCGTGCTGCTTGTGTGGAGCTGGGGGACACGTCAGGCCCAGACTCCATGACTGCAGACTGAAGTCATCGTGTCCATCACGTCTCCTCCTCGTGAGGAAACTTCAGGCCTCTTCCCGTCTGGCTCTCGGAACACCTGACTCTCGCGATAGTTGTTGTATTTATCCAGCACAGACTCACGGGATGTGGGAGCAGGGATGAAGTGCAGGAGCATCAGAGGCGGAGCGGACATCTTCACCACCGAGGACCGGAGGACGAGGCGAGACGGTAGGACCCGCGTGTGTGTGTGTGTGCGTGTGATTGTGTGTGTTTGTGTGTGTGTGTGTGCGCGCGCGCCTCCACAGAAAGGGGGTTGCCGTTCCTCCGTGTGACGTCACGAGCTTTCCTGAAAGTCAAAACAACCGTTCGCCGATGTGACGTTTTCTCTTCGTGGCTTCTCGGAAATTTCCGACTTGAACCTTCTCGATCCAAAACGACTAGTTCCGGTTTCCCCCATCGGGCTCGTCTGCCACGGTCCTCTAACCCGGCTCGGCTCGGCTCGGCTCGGCTCGGAGTCCGGCACACGTAGCTTCACGTTGCGGCCGATGAGGAGCAGGTGCACGGGGATAGAGCGCAGCACCTGCCGCTACAGGTAACACCGTGAGCTCGCTGCTCTGCTGGGACCGGGAACATGGCACACAGCTCCACACACCGTGTTGTGTAATGGTGCTCTGTCAGAGGGATCACCTGAGGAGGATGCTCAGTCTGAAGTCAGGCTTCGTGTCGTTTATTCTTTGATTATTCTTGTGTTTAACATCCTGACTGTCATGCAACATGCTCCTGTGCAGTGAAACCAAGTACATGTACTCAAGTTACTCCACTTAAATACTATTTAGTTTTTTGCATGTTGCTCATTTCTTGTTACTCTATGTTTATCCTCAAGTTCCTTTCATGTTACTTCCACTATATTTATCTGACAGCCTCTATAAATTAAAACATGTATATTTATAATATATAATAATGGCATTAGTACAGCAATAATCATAAAAGTAGTTTTTTATGGCTCCAGCTACTCAAATATAAGGATTTACTGTTTTTTCCTTGATTAAATTAAATAATAATAAACTTTATTTGTATAGCACCTTTAATACAAGAAATGCAGCTCAAAGTGCTTTACATGCAATATAGGTCATATTAAAAATATTATTAAAAACAAAATCATATTACAGTGGTATTCACCGATTTTAAGTAACACAAGAACATGTTAAAATGACGTTTAAAAGAAGAGGAAATAAAAAAGATTAAGAAATCAAATTAAATAAGAAAACACCTCTTAATGGACCCTCAAATATGAGTAATTACCTGATCCGTTGTGTAAACTCAATACATGTTGGTTTTGACAGTTGGCCAAACAAATCAAGACATTTGATTATGTTCACTTCAGTTCCAGGGAATAATGTTTGGCCCGTTACCTTGTTTTGTCACGGTTCCTACCCTGAACAATCAATCAATCAATCAGTCAATCAACTCAGTATTAAGGAAAACAGTTTTCAGACCTAATTGTAAATAATTGTTGGTTACAACCTTACAGATGGAATAGTTTGCTCTCCCCAGAGACAATTTATAACAAACAACTTCAATATAAACCAGAACAGTTAAGGTTTGAGAACAAAGTTCATCGATGAGAACAAGCTACAGGATGGAGAGTTGAGCACCAAACATCCTTGACGATGAACTTCAGTGATGCAAAACTTAGGATTTAAGTATTAACATTAATACTGTGAACTATTTTATAAACCAACAACTTTTGCCTACCCCAACTTTTGATGATGGGGGCATGGGGCAGTTACCTGCATGAACCTTTTGTTGCGCCCCAGTCTCCTACATTTATCGTCCTGAATCTGGCTGAAACTGCTCTTTACTCCTAAGTATTGAAAAGTATTAAATACTTCTGGGTTGAAGTGAGGAAACCTTGAGGAGGGGTCAGTAACGTTTGGTCAGTTCCATAATAACATAACTTAACTGAATTATTTATTATTAAAATAGTGAAAAAGTTTGCACCAACAACTTCTAAATAAATCTTTAAAATTGATGGGAAGTTGAAGTGTTCACCGTACCAGCTCTGTTAAGGTTGCATCACTGATGCATGATTTAGTACATGCACTTGACCAAACGTTGAATTTAGTTGAATCCATTGACCCCATGGATCAGCCCTGTGGTCTCAAATACCTGATCACACTATGTATCTGATACATACCAGTATCAGATATGTTGCCTGGCAGGTGCTCCCCCTGACGTGGTTGGTTTTTCATGGCCCTGCCCTGTCCTCCCCTTTCCTGAGCCCTGTCCTCCCCTGTCCTCCCCTGTCCTCCCCTGTCCTCCCCTGTCCTGTCCAGTCCTGAGCCCTGACCTGTTCTGTCCTGTTCTGACCTGTTCTGTTCTGTCTTGCACTAAGTGTGATCAGGGCCGTGCTTGACCCGATTAAGGTTAAAGCTAACTGAAATGTCAATGAATTACACTGCAGTGTTAAAGCTTAATCCAGAATTGCACAGTGCCTATAAAAAGGATTCAGTACCCTTGGATGTGATTACTACAGCTGGGTATCTTTTTCCAAATCAGTGCTAAAGCTGTTGCCAATTTTTTTTAATCGATACAAAAACAGAACTTTTTACCTTATACCTTAGATTCTATGAATATAAATATTCTACATTCTACAACACAGTTCGGAAGAAGTCTACACTGTTAAAAGTATGACATGAATGGAAGGAAGTGAAAGAATATTCAATACTGGTTATTCAAAGTTTATTTATATTGAAGGAGTCGCGTGTCCTAATTGCAACAAATATGACACTGCACTTCTCTGGGCCCTGACCAGTTTTTTTTATAGATACTTAAGAACATTTGTTTTCTTGTTCATGATGATTTCTTAGTGCGATTAACCATTTAGTCACAAAATGTAAATGTAAGTAAATATGCTGTTCTCAGTTTCCCAGAGCCCATGGCGTTACTGTGTGTAGAAGTCTTGTCCAACCAAATAATTCAATTTTAAACACTTAATCACATTTTTTATTTATGACTCAAAGAACGAGTAGATAATTACGTGATTGATTTCACAGCCGCTCGCTGCAGCTCAAGGAACTACTGGTTAAAAAATACCCTAGAACTAAAGTGGTTGCCATATTAATTTTCACCATCATTTTTTCTTGCATGTTTTCAGTTTGAATGCACTAAAACCTCTGTGCCTGCATCCACTTCTTATAAACTCTGTCCTTTTGGCCACTAAGCTCATGAATGGGACAGAAATGTGAATAAAATAAGGGTTAAGTAAGTGAAAGCCTGAGCAAACACTGTAGCATCCCTTGAGAGCAGGAACATGGATGTGTTGTTACTCGTCTGTATTTACTTGGATTGGTCACAACTCTGCTGCTTCAACAGCAAGCGTATACTAGGGTGTGTGCCTGCATGTAAATGCGTCTGTAAGTCTGTTTCAGTCTTCGTCATGACGCTGCAGTCCCTCCAAGTGTTGGCGGCACAGTGCAGACACTAGCTGATCTGAATACTGATTTCCAGCTAGATAGCTATACGCCTGCTAGCCCATAACCGTCGTAGCACTGCTCTCCATTCAAGCTGAGCAGCGTAGTGTGCTTGCACATTGTGCAATACATTGTAGTAGGGTACATGTGAGGTGAACACGGCAGCTATGCAGAGAGAGCGAGGGAGAGAGGGAGAGGGAGAGGGAGAGGGGAGGGGAGGGGACGGGGGGAGCAGGAGTGAGACGACAGAGAGGTGCAGAGATTTGGGCAGAGAGAAAGAGTGTGAGAGCATCCCTAACTGCCGTTGTTTCTATTTATAGCCAAGCCCTACTCCACAGTCCTGAGATGCTCTCCCATCTCCCACGCACAGACATCAGCCTACGCACCCGCACACACACATGTTGACAAAATAATTTGACATGCAGAAATACCGCAAGCACAGAAAGGTAGACTCGACTGGCTTTTCTGCACGGTGCAAGCTGCTCATCAGAATAAAGCAGGATCTATGAATGAATGAATGAATGAGAGGTTGAGCTCAGGAAGGTTTCTTTGGCAATCAAGGTCAGTTTTTGCTTCATCGAAAGCTCTGCAATAATTCATCCTGTTTATCAGTGAGAGTGTTTGCGACAGAAAGAGGAACTGGGTGTATAATTGGGTGGAGGCAGAGTGGAGTCATCCCCACATTAACTACTGTAGTTGTTTGTCCTGTCAGATTGTATGAAAGGGCTTTGGGGGGAAAACGAGGGAGCAGCAGAGGAGGAGAAAATTAATCCATGCCTTTTTTTTCCCCCTCTCTATTATATTTTTTTCTCCTTTCACTTCCTTCCAGGCTGAGTCACTGCTGGTGAGGAGGAAGGTCTGGAGAGGGAACGAGAGAGGAGGAGGAGGAGGTGGTGGAGGAGGGGGAGAAGGAGAAGAAGGGAGGGAGGGGAGACAGGGAGATAAGCCACAACAGGAAGCAAAACGACACACACACGCGTACACAAACACAGTGTGTGCGCGTCCGAGAGAGAGACTGCGCGAACAAGAGGGTGAACGGGAAAGGAAGGGAGGGAGAGTGACGCGGAGGCTGGGAGAGCCTGGCCCCCCCTCCTCCTCCTCTCCTCCTCTCCCTCTCTTTCTCTCCTCTCCTCCTCTCCTCCCCTCCTCCCCCTCTCTCTCTCTGTGGAGCAGGCGTGTAGCGGCATCAGACTCGGCGTGAAGGAACCATGAGCGATGTCACCATCGTTAGAGAGGGATGGCTCCAGAAACGGGGTGAGTACATCTAGTACCTCTCTTTTTTTTCTACTCTCTTCCTTCCTCTCTGCCTCTCTTTTCTCTCCTCTTCTTCCCTGCCTCTTGTCTAGACTGAGGGCCTGGCCGTGGCTGTCCACATGTGCTGATGTGAGGATGTGAGTGTTTGAGTGTGTGTGCGTGCGATCACATGGCGGACTGATTATCAAGTGTGCACGTGTGTTTGTACGTGTTTGCCCCCTTAGGGATGCGTCTCTTTATTATGAGCTTGTCTGGCAGTTTGTTTGCTAAGCCTCTATGTGCCTCTGTCAGGTTGCGGCTGGAAAGAGTGTGAGAATGGGGTCTGTGCATGTATTTTGTGTGTGTACAGTTGATAACATGTACCAGGCCTGTAGGTAACACTGCTGTTGCATAGTGTTCTGTCAGGCCAGTGTTTGTACTAGTTTGTGAAATGGAGTCAGTGCTGGCTCTCAGAAGTAGTGTCTAACGTAGTTGTTTCTTAAGTTAGTGAATGGTGACACTGAGAGTCATATGACATGTTGTTGGCTGGGGTGGATTCAAGGGGGACACTGACAGCACATCCTGTTTACAACCAGACGAATAACAAATTTGAACAAGAGAAAATGTCATAGCTGGAGAGCAAGTAGCACAGATAGTTCTTCCCTGTACTCCGACGTTCACAGCTTTGATCAGTGAGGTTGCTGCAACAGGTGACAAGTCATTTGTAGCAGGGTCAAACTGAACCATCAGAAAGTGATGTACAGACGCATTGTGATGCCAAGTGTGTGGCACTTTAGGATCTTTTTCTTCTTCTAGCAAACCACAGTTTCATGGGGTCATGTGTCTGCTGCTGCTTCCTTCAGGCACAAGTACAAATGTACGTGAATGTGCGTGTTTCAGAAAGAGAGCCTCAGTAGTAGGACAAGGGGGATTTCCAATTTTTTGGGCCAATGAGCATCATCCCACTGACTATGTGATGGTGTCTAGGAATGTGTAATACAAACTGTTGAACAGGAAGTGATGTGGATCCACAACAGACTGTGGGATGCTGGGTAATGTAGGCTAACACCATGGCACAGCAGGAGAACATGTTGGATAACAAGAGTGCTCCTCTCTCCATGGAGTGGATGCTCTCTCTCACAGTGTCACATACACAAATACAGTTCAAACTCTGCTGAAGCAGAGGGGGGGATCTCTGTCTGTGTGTTCCATCATGCCAGTGTGATCCTCAGACAGTCGTCTGTGCATATTAAGAGGAACACATCGCCCCCAGTCACGACGCAGCGCTACCAATGTTCATCAGTGTGTGAGAGAAATAGAGTTTTTGGGTTCGGGGGGGTGGGGGGGTACTGTGATTGTGTCAGGAATATGAATGTTTGTCTGCTTCATATGCTAAATCTCTGTCTGTATTAGTGTGTGTGGAGAGGAGCAGGGTCGGGGTGCTGACTCACTGTCCAGGTCGTGACTGCAGTCTTAAACATTAGACAGTTTTTTATTGAAACCAAACGGTGAGAGACAGAGACACACACACACACACACACACACACACACACACACANCACACACACACACACACACACACACACACACACAAACAAGCATAAATACTCTCTTTTGTACTAATTCTAAAAGACTGAATGAGTGAAAAGAACGAGTTGTGAAATGGACAGGAAGGAGGCAGATATATCTGTATTATATAACTGTCCATTTATCCGAAATTCAAAATCCAAAAGAAGTTTGAATCACTCGCAGCTTGTTAGAATGAATCTCAACGTGCACAGCCCCATCACTGTTGTTTTGTGACGTGCACTGTTTTCATTGCTCTGTTGACGTGGTTTGTTCAAGTGAATGTACAATGTTGTGAAACTGAATTTCCTCTTCTGGGACAATAAACTTACTAACTACCTTAAGTTTGCACACCAAGATGCTTTACATGCTTCCACATGTCTGGAGGTGATAAATTCAAACTTAGTGATATAGAACAATGAGATGCTTGTTTCAGATTTGTTTTTGTTATCCAATATTCTTAACTTTTTTTTACTATTACACTTTTTGTTGGACTAATTAGTCTACTAATAAAGATTAAAAAGTTAAAATACATGATAAGGCATGCTCATTGGTGTTCTCGGCTCTCTGCATGTTTTATGATGGGACTGTGTGTTTAGCTTTTATGTGACACGCCACAAACCATTAGAGTGATTCAATTCATTGAGTCAGACGGGACAGATGTGTACAGAACATTCTGATCATTTCACATATGCTGTTGGATGCTGATCACTGTCACTAGTGAGTACAGTGGTTTTCTTCTCATGATCTACTGATGTAAATGTACTATGATAGTAAAGCTTCATGCAGTTTCTTTTGGATTCCTTTTTGCAGTCAGTCAGTTCAATTTAAATCTACAGTACTTCACACATATGTTATAAAAAAAATCAATGAGAGATAAAATAAAACAATAGCAGATGATGATTAAAAACGAAGCCTGGCAGAGTAGTTCAATAAAGCAGTAAAAATGTTCCATCATCTCAGAACAGAGTGACAAACCTCAGGAACATCACCTCTGCAAAGAGCAGCACACTGTGTCCTCAGATGACTGAGTCTCTCCGTGCTCGCAACCACAGCCATAATTTCCTTCCTCCTTTCATTAAATCCGGGTGGGGAGTGCATTCAGCTGCATCATTTCTTTATCTTTAGAAATAATGAACATAGAATAAATACCAGGATCTGTCACAGACTCAAATTTAGAGGCGGTAGACTTGCAAGGAGAGCACAATAGCCGATATTTGGAAACCTTGTTATTCTGATCGTAATTAAGACATATTCAATGAAAGTAGTTTGAAAATCTGGTGGATGTATGTGAGCTACAGCCCTAGAAGACAATGACTACATTTACATTGACACCAATATTCCATTTATTGACACTATTCAGAACAAGACATTATTTCCATTATGATGTTTAAATTAGTTTCTGATAGAATATTCCATTCACATTCCTGTTCACATGTTGCTGAGCATACCCAGATGTCTACTACTCCATTGCATCCGACGTAAGAGTCATTCAAAACCCCAACCTCAAATAGTTTCATGTATGATGCTACCTTGTTTTGGGTGTTTTCTTTCTAATTTTGCAAAAGCTACAACTCGGTTTGTCAATGTCACAAATTGCTGTAAAAACTCCAATAGGAGGCTAAAAGATGTACATGTCTACAAAATCCGACGATAAGGTTCGGAATACTCAGTCTTCATTTGTTTGTTGCTTATTCTGAGTAAGGTAATCAGAAAATGCTGTTTACATAGCAGTGTGTGATTCAGACTATTTGCTTAATCAGGTTAATATCGGAATAGTGGTGTCCATGGAAACAGCAGATGTTCAGGAGGGAGGAGAGTAGGAGATACACCATCAGCGACAAGACCATCATCTTGCTCTTTAGTCTCTGCAGACTTTCTCTGCCTGGCCTCCTATTTCTGTAGAAATCCAGGAGAAGTTGATGTGAGAACACATCAGGAGTTGGGTTGATTCTAACACGCGACAGATGCAAAAATTTAAAAGAAAACAAATCAAGCAGATGTTGACCACATTCTTTCTTTTGTGTGTTGTGTTTCAAATTAATCCAGGAAAATTCTGAAATATTCTCAAAGAAAATAATTCTTGAGCTGCAGAGAAAATTACATCTGCATGCTCATAATTTAAATTTTATAGTTGATTAATGAGTTTTATATAATTCTCAGTGTACAAATTGTATTTGTGGTTTAGTGCAGTATACAAAAACACACATTTGACAGTTAAAATAAAGGTTTAAGTTATGTTGGAATTCTGAAAAGCTTTACAGAAGGGACTATAGTCAAACAAAATGAAGCTCATAGAGTGATAGAAATTCCACTATATTCTGTCAAGCACATTCATTTATAATATTAGAAGCAGCATCTTATTGACTGGGAGTAGCTCTATAGTATCGGAGTCTGCAGTGCATTGATTTCTTTTTTGGCTCATGCTATGGGCACATTGATGTAACTTCGTATGATGCAGTATCAGATCACATCATCTGAAATGTTTTGCTGAGGCTATTTCCTTAGATCTGCTTTGCTTTTCTTCTGTATAACTTTACATTGTTTGTCTGCAAGTGGCATCTTTAATGCTCTATTTAACATAATGATTCTAACTGTGGACATAGTTGGGGGGGTGACGTTAGTGGACACCTAATGTCTGCTGTTACTGTAAATCTATTTCCGTGTCTCGTCCTGTCACTTAATTCATCTTGCCATGATCGTATGTTAGATACACCTGTACTCTTTTATACCTTTGCCTCAGTACCTTCCATCGCAACAACTAAATCCCTGTGGGAATCATCTGATGCTGTACTGTGTATGTTAGACTGCTGAGAGGTTCACTGGGTGCAGTGCAGTGAGGCAGCCATCTTGGCTCTGTGAGTTCAGTGAGTTCAGTGTTTCTGGAGGCTGGCTGGCTGGCTAGATCAGGTGGCAGTGCCAGATCTATGATATCAATCACTAGCCGCTGCTGCTGCTGCCGCCGCCACTGTCTGTGGTGTCGCTCCTCTTCTCTCCTCCTCCTCTCCTTCTTCTCCTCTGTGCTGTCGCTGCTGTAGAGCCTGTCAACACAACTCACTCCTTTTTATTGCCATTCACACTCTCCTTCCATCTCCCTGCGCTCCTCTTTCTGTCCCCTCTGTTTTTCAAACTCAAACATGAAAATTCAGGGCAGTATAGCGGACAGTGCAGGCTTTGTTATGAATGGCATCCTCTTGCACATCCGGAGGAAGTGTGTGCTCCAGTGTTGCTTTACAAACTGTCTCCATTGTCCTAAGAATGACTCACTCTACACTGCAGAGAATGGCAGTCAGCCAGACTGTCAAACAGACCAACAGCAAAGTGCAAACAGGCAGACTAGTCCGCAGAGCCGACAGACAAACAGCACAGGAAGGACAGGCAGAGGCAGATAGTTTGTGACAGATACAGCCGTCAAAGGACAGAGGCCTTGTCAATAGGAGACCTGCAACTGGCAG